GGCAATGTAAAGGATTGTTATGGGAAAGGCACAAGGACCAGACTGTTACAGATACTGGACCAGCAGACTGAGGTGGCAGGCTATCCTAATATGTTCCTTAGTTGGCCATACTCATGTCGATCATGGCGGACACAAGCACTCAAGCGGCCCAAGCATGCAATAGTGAGTGGCAAACACATGGAATGTGTGTGTGTGTGTGTGTGTGTGTGTGTGTGTGTGTGTGTGTGTGTGTGTGTGTGTGTGTGTGTGTGTGTGTGTGTGTGTGTGTGCGTGTGTGTGCCTGCACAAGAGTTCCATAATTATAGACTTCTAGCATGCTGCTGAACCAGAAGCTGAATACACAAACTCAGTATCCATGAAAATGAAATAATTATATGATGTACACACAGCTCTCCAGTCTAGGACCTTAGGATGCTTATCGACTAATCTCGACTGGGCCCTACATCAGTGCAACTTACCCTGACAATCAGTGCCATCACCTGTATAACCAGCCATACATCTGCATGAGAATGATCCGGCAGTATTGATACAGTCGGCTTGAGCATGGCAGTTATGCAGAGAGCCATCGGAGCATTCATTAATGTCTGCAAATGGAATAGAGATGAGAGCAGGATTGACATGGGTTACATACCAGCATCGCCTCCTAGCAAGTCCTATGGTTGAGATATTACCGTAGGACACAGCACCGTGTTGGCTTCACATAGCTCTGGAGTGGCTCACTGGCAGCCAAGCAGTCCAGCAGGAGAGAGAGATGATGATGATAAAATGACAGAGAAGAGGGAGATGGAACACGCTGCTCAGTCTTACCTTGACAGCGACCATCCATACATGAGTAGCCATCCGTGCACCTGCACCATACACACCAATAGTGTATGTGCGTGTGCGTGCGAGAGAGAGAGAGAGAGAGAGAGAGAGAGAGAGAGAGAGAGAGAGAGAGAGAGAGAGAGAGAGAGAGAGAGAGAGAGAGAGAGAGAGGGAGAGAGAGAGAGAGAGAGAGAGAGAGAGAGAGAGAGAGAGAGAGAGAGAGAGAGAGAGAGAGAGAGAGAGAGAGAGAGAGAGAGAGAGAGAGAGAGAGAGAGAGAGAGAGAGAGAGAGAGAGAGAGAGAGAGAGAGAGAGAGAGAGAGAGAGAGAGAGAGAGAGAGAGAGAGAGAGAGAGAGAGAGAGAGAGAGAGAGAGAGAGAGAGAGAGAGGGAGAGAGGGAGAGAGAGAGAGAGAGAGAGAGAGAGAGAGAGAGAAAGAGAGAGGGAGAGAGAGAGAGAGAGAGAGAGAGAGAGAGAAAGAGCGAGGGAGAGAGAGAGAGAGAGAGAGGTACGGGAAAGACAGAATACATCAATGCAAGAACAATACAATTATGAAATGCCTCATCACACCACCAGACATTCTGTCCGACAGTACAAACAGCAAAAATAGAAATGCAAACTTTGATGAAACAGTTACTTCAGAAGTGATGACATACTGAAGTAGGGAAAGAAATAGAGCTGAAACGAATCAGAAGTAAGTATCGTTCAAGGGCGTCGGAACCGCACCGGCCGGGGCGGCCATGGCCGCCCCACTTTTCGGCCGTTTTTTAATTTGTTTTTAGCACACTGCAACAAAGCGCGATGATGTCAGCGCAAACGTGGCAAATCCTTGTCCCCGATCGTGGTTTGTTGCAGAATCAAAAGTCCATGTACACTGAAATGGCACCAAATGCCTGGGAATGCTTGCAATTGGCTTCAATTTTTGAATTTTTTTCCCGGGGGAAGGTAATGTTTGTCCCCGATCGTAGCGCTAGTATAGCATCTTCTTGTTTTTTTGCAGAATCAAAAAGTCTTTCATTGTAGTTACCATACACTGAAATGGCACCAAATGCCCGGAAATGCTTGCAATTGGCTTCAATTTTTGAAATTTTTTCCCGCGGGAGGACCCCCGGACCCCCTTCCATGGCCGCCCTGCCTCCAAAGTCAGTGCGATGCGCCTGTCGTTGTGCTTCGTCACATTATTACCTCATCAGATTTACAACTGGCTTCATCTCTTCGAGTGCTAAGTAGGCACTGATTCATTCTGTTTTTGTTTTTTTTATACATTTGCGTACCATTCGTCCAGACCAGTCTTCCACCAGCATGCCTATCAACAAACATCAACACCAATCCTGTGTTGTCAAGGGTGATCAGCACTTACAAGCATACATACTAGTAGCTTACACAGAACAAACAGATGAGCCGCATGTGTCGTTCGGCTGACCAACAGCAAAGCAGCGTCCGACTGGCACTTCGTTCTGGGCATCGTTCGTCAAGCGCTTGCATTCAAACGGGCTCAGTGTCGTGTTGTACAAACTGAGATGCGAGATGTAGCCTTGGAAGCCTGAACCACTGCTTGTACGGCCAAGCTCGAAGAACCGAGTCTGCAAAGCAGGACAACACAAACATTGCACATGTATGCACAAAACACAAAAATACAAAAAAATACAAGCAAACATGAATACATACGAAACTACTTCAGTACTGGTAAACGACATTTACAGTCAGCGATCAGACCAGCAGAACAAGCACTAGCAGTGGACCCAGTAGACTCTGATAGGGTAGAACAGGGCAGCGGAGACACAGTGCCTGGCCCGGTTGAGATATGCGAAACCGACGACCGGGCATGAAACTCTCTGAGTTGTGACATCGCCTCTACCAGCAGCACCACCACCACTACCACCAGCGGCAATAGCAGCAGCAGCAGCAGCAGCAATAACACTATGACATGCTGCAGCACAGCGCACATCATCCATACATTATGTACTCACAGTGTCCAATTTCAATTCTGGTACTCCGTCAAAGAACTCTATATCATCCTCATCGCGCCCATTCACAATCAAATTAGCAAAGGCTGCAGATATATTGCCAGTTGGGGTGCTAACAATGGTTGTATTCGATATGTCAAACGACAAGCAAAACGTCTGAAACGAGTCATCCACCACTAGAGGAATCCTGAATACAAATTCTCTGCTGGAGATTCCATCGCGGCCAAATCTGAAGAGAATATGCGGATAGTCCACGCCCAGCTCAGGGAACGGAATGAAGAAAACAGCTAACGATGGCAGACTGGGCTTCTGGACACGATCGCTGAAGATCTGTCCACGTGAATCCCTCGTCAGTTGTACTCTGAAGAAGAAGCTAAACTGACCGGTCTGAAAGGTGGGCTCAATACGACTGGTGCGTACGTCTGTTGCTACAGAGAATGTGTCTCCACCGCCCACGAACACTGCTTGCTCAGTTGTACCAGACACGCGTGAGAACACCAGACTGTCGCCAACAAAATTGTCGGCCTGCAGAATGTTAAAGCCAGAGCCGACCGGATTCCTGTCGTCTCGAAAGCAGCAGTAGGCAGGCGCGGCAAACAGAGTGGTGCACACGGAGCTGTTGTAGCAGCAGCCCTGTGTCAGCTGTCTGTTGGTTAGTGTAGGCGCTGTGCACAGTCAACAACATCAACACACATGGCCAAGCGCATACATGTATTGTACATCAACACATAGCCATGCACATATAGTACATCAACAGATAGCCATGCACATATACTTGATATAGTAGATCAACACATAGCCATGCACACAGTACAGTCATCATCATAAGCCCATAGCTCAAAGGACTTCGGGGCACCAGAGAACAAGACAAAGCATTAGACAGCCAGCAATGTCTATCATAGACAGCTACTACCAACAAAGACGTTGTATTTCTCGCCGGCCGAGCGCAGCGAGATAGGCGAGAAATGATTTCTCGCGAAATATTTTCAGTTGCAAATATGGCATCTGGTGTGTTCTTTGTTGTCGCTTCTTTTCCTGACTTCTTCAGTCAGTTTTGAGTCTCACCAGTGTCCCTGCCCTCCCACCCTTTATTTCTGTGCATATTATCAATGCTTTTTATCACTGTTTGCCGTGATGTGCTTGCCATGCCTACATGATGCCTAATCGCCATTGGGGATATACACCCGGTTTTTTCTCTCACAAATGCGTCCGTCGGCGCGAGGGTTTTTTCCCGGCTGGCTCGGTCCAGGAAAATTAATCTGACGGTCCCAAGTGGTTCTGCATCATGGCCTATTTCTGCTATCCACTGGCACGACTATTCTATCTGAGACACTCTGTTCTCAGTCCTTGCTTGCTTCCATACCTCACTCGTTATCCGGTTCACATCTGGCTGCGGCCAACTACATCTGGCTGCGGCCAGCTACCCATCACTTTGTGTGTTGTCGCTATTGCTGTCTATGTCTCTGTGTGTGCCAGTATATGTGGAGCGAGAAATATCCATGCCCGTCCAAAACAAAACAGTATCCAACTAAGACAACCGATCAGCTATCAGATTGGCAGATTTCGGATCATGCACTTCCGCTTACCATGTTCTCAAACAGGTAGAATGTATGTGTGTTTCAAGAATTGTGCTGGTTCATGATGAAAAACCTTTGCCACGTATCTCTTCAGTTGATCCATGCATTTCCCACAGTCAATGTATAAAGCAGTTTGCAGCCCCCCCACCCCCCCCCCCCCACCCCATCTTCTCTTCACTATGTCACTGTAGATGATGATGTTAACCGGATCATGCAATCACTAGTACCACCAGCTACTTTTATGTTACTAAAAAATAAAATAAATAAATCATGGTTCGCGTGAGACTCGGCTGGAAACCGTGTTTTCCGCATCCGCAGGAACACCACCACCCTCTGTGGATCAAAGGTGCAGATGCAGCTCCTAAAGTGTTGGGGGGGGGGGGGAGTAGATCAGACCCACTGCAAAGTGGTCAAAGACCAAAAACTCCCATCCACTGCATCCATCTCACTAAGCTGGATGTCTAAAGTGCACTTCGCCAAATCCCTGTCCACCTGGACCGTGTTGGGCATCTGCTGACAGGGTCAATACATCTACGAGCGTGTTTTGCCCATTGGACTACGCTCCAAGCCGGCCATAATCGACTCTGTTGCATCCAATAGAATGGAGTAGGTGGGAACAGTTCGCGATCCCATACCTGTTGCATTACCTTGACGGCTTCGTAAGTTTTGCTCCAGATCTGTACTAGCCCATCAGCAACTTGCCATTCTGCTCGGAGCATTCACACACCTCGGTGTCCCTATCCGAGTCACAGCAAAAGTGAAGGGTCCAGCTCAAGTACTGATGTTTTTCGGCATCATCCTCGACATCCACCGCCTCGAAGCCCAGCTGCGTCTGGGCAAACAGGACGAGCTACGCAACCTCATACAGGCCACTCTTCATATAACGAACTACGTGACGTCAACTCGAGTCTCTTCTGGGGAAGCTCTCATCTATTACAATAGTGATAGTCCAAGGGCACACATGGTGGTCACTTGCCAACCGGCACAGGCAGTCGTATTATTATCTGATTAAACTCTCGGAAGAAAGCCTCGAAGACCTGCACTGGTGCCTCAAGCTCTCCGTCCAGTGGAACGGCTGATCCTTCTTCCTACACCCCAACCTCGTGCTCCCCCCCCCCCCTTATACCCCAACTGGACGCCAAAAGGAACACATCCCAAGTGTTTTGAATTCCCTCATTGCTAAATGGATACGTACAGTAAAAGCCTGTCTAAGCCGACTGCTCAAGGGACCTTGCGAATGTGGTCCCCGTGCGCAGGTGGCCTTCTTATCCAGGGTCACTTGACTGGAAATACCACCCCTTGGTCCTGGTTGTAGTGGTGATTTGGGACAGGTGGTGACCTTATCAGAGTGGCTTTGGGACAGCTGGTAACCTTATCAGACTTTGGGACAGCTGGTAACCTTATCAGAGTGGTCGCCTTGCAGGTTTTACTGTATTATGGCTAGGTGTTGGCGTGACATGTTCAACCTTCTCCGGGCATAGCAATATGCCAGTGGAACTGCTTCAAGAATCTTTGACTTACTTGTTAGTTGCTGTGCCGCAGTGCCATGCCAGTCAGCTATGGAATACACATACAACACAAAATACAGAAGCGCATACATAATTATAGTGTTACACACACACACACACACACACACACACACACACACACACACACACACACACACACATACACAGACACAAAACACGCACAAACACACACACACACACACACACACAAAACACACACCCGCACAAAACCCGCACAAACACACACACACACACACACACACACACACACACACACACACACACACACACACACACACACACACACACACACACTACACTACACACACTACACGAACACTATGCACTCGGACAGCCGGAGCAGTCACAGCAAGACAATAAGTACTCGAATTTCAGAAATTTTCGGTGCTCAATATTTTCGGTATGAGGCCAAAAGGCCAGGTTAGGTGAACAGAAATTTTCGGTACAGAGAAGCAGTTCCCTATTGGATTACGTGTATTAGTGTTTGTTCGGTGTATTGAAATTTTAGGTATGAAACAGATGCACCGAAAGTACCGAAAATAAAAGTACACCGAAAATTTGTGAAATTACAGTACCTCATACTACATATTTGATCACCTGTGGAGCACACCAGAGCACCATGCTGGTAAAAAAAAGAAGAAGTGTAGAAATACTCTGCATTGCACGGCATTTTCTAGACCTCTTTTTTTTTTACAGTCAAGTGACAATTCAAGTCGGCAGGAAAAGCGCGAGCTCCCACGTAGAGAGCAACACACAAATCCTCAAGTATCGCCGAAGTCGCAGCAACCTCTTCTTCACATTCTTTTCTACTGCAGGGTATTTTCTACGAGGGTAGTCTTCTTTTTTTACCAGCATGGTGCTCTGGTGTGCTCCACAGGTGATAAAATATGTAGTATGAGGTACTTGTTGTCTTGCTGTGACTGCTCTGGCTGTCCGAGTGCGTAGTGTTCGTGTAGTGTGTTGTGGCTGCAGGTAAGGTTACAACGGCTACAGTTCAATACAAGTACAAAAATGTCCTGACTGTAACGTGTGTCCTTCTTACAGACCCGCACCCCTAGGCCTAACAGGCTAACTGGCTACTATATGACTGTAGACTTTGTAGTATGTCAAACTCACACCGGTCAGTGTTACCACCCTTCATACTTCAGAAAACAACATTTTTCGGAAGTATCTCGCTGCCTCATTAGACATTACGCTACCGTTGTGATTGCGACAACCGCGAAGGTCTCTTCACACACTCCCTGACTTCTTGTCACCTAGTTCAACATGACACTGTATCACAAGTACAATGTACTTACGTGGTAGTATGAAAATAACAGCTAGGGAGACAAGCAGCGTCGATGGTAGCGCCCTTTCGCGCAAGCAGCGCCATCTCCCCAGCATGTCCGCTTCGAAAGGGGACAGATGACAGGGAAGATACGAGTATTCAGGAGCGCTTTTCCGAGAAGAGGATTGTCGAATGTTTGTAAAGCAAAACTAGTGGCTGTATCAGTACTGGTGTCTTAGGTGTATTCACTCGGGCAGTGAACGGATTGAGTGCCAAGTCGATATGGGGAAGAAAGAGCCAGCGCATCCGTCCTGATCTGAGCGTGGAAGGTGAAAAGGCAAAACTGCAACTCCCCACCGAAGAAGATCCGGAGCACGCTGCGCGCTTCCTGTCCCTGTAGCTGCGGTCGCTTGGGTGAGCTCGCTAATGTCCTATATCGCAGTCGTAATCGCATTACCTGTCGGTAGTTGACCTATCCATGATCGGGACTTCAATTTTCTCTTCGGATTGAATCGGAACCAGAGGTACCACAGCACGTTCGACGGGAAGGTTATTGTTGGGAATATCATACCAGTGCCGGCGAGACAATACCGGAAAGGATTTTAAAGATATTAGCGGGGAGAAAGGGCAAGTGTCTCCATTTGTCTTTACAATCACCCCTCCGCAAACTCGCCAGCTCACACAGTGTAGAATCATGTAGGGGGCTCACCTCGCGAGTTCACGACGAATCTGCAACGCACGCTCTTGGTATCCAGACAGCGCGCGGGACACCAGCAGAAACAGCAGCAGAAGGAGCAGCAATGCCAGAACGCTGCCTTGCGCTATTCAAAGTTCTATCCGGGTCTGGAAAGACTTTACCTGTGGACCTTCGATGCACAAGGGATCATCATTACTAGATAATTATTACAAGAAGGACAGAAGTTTATAGTTGGTATTATTTCGTACTTGAGTTTAGACGAGGGCCATATTGTGTCACGTCTTGGTTGTGAAATATGGCAACTGTCAACTGAACTCATCAACGAATCTGTTTCGTGCTGAACTTCATTAGCATTTTATCATGTGGAGTCATAGATGATTGGCCACAAAACTAGTTACCTGGCTACTTGACCGTGGGATGTGTGCACATAGATGCATACTCCACTGCACTGATAACGTTAGCTGCGCTGCATGGCTCAGAAAGAATACTACAGTACATGTAACTAGCAAGTTGATCTGTTCAGCTGAATTGGCCGCTTTTGCTTTAGCTCTAAGCTACCAATACACATTGTTGTATTTGAAATATTTTCCATTATTCCCTGTACTTAACCATGATGAGAAGGGAACGAAAACCTTTGGTTACAAAATTGGTCACCTTTAAAAAGTCACACGAGCAGTGCAAAGCAGCTATAACACATGGTAACGTGGTTAGTTTGGGTAGATCTACTAGTAGACTATGGAGAACAGACTCGGTATCCACTATGTAGCTAGATGTAGTAGGCTTCTTGGTCCCTAGTCCTAGTCTTCACTCTTGTCGAGTGAGTTGAAGTGCAGGAGTAACAGGACTCCCTGGCATAGGCACACGGACACACCACAAGAAACAATACTTTGACAAGATCGAGAGGAAGCAGTTACAGCATGATTTCTAGAGAAAACAGTGAAAGAAGGCTGTGCCAAGCCAGGAAAATGAATCCTAATTTTCATGAGCGTAGGTTTTCTTTGGACAGAATTATTTCGAACCCAAGCAAGGAGCATGTACTAAAACAGAGTAAAATTGAGCGCAAAAGAGTAGGAGAGAGACTAACATAATCATTTGAAATACCATCTATTCTAATTCTAGCCGGCTAGAACTAGAATGTGGCTCATAATCGGAAAGGAAACTAGTTCCTGAGATATTTCACGAAAAGAACAGTAACAAGCCATCAGGGCATGTCCTCCCGTAACGACAGCATCATTACGAAATCAATGCTGAAAATGGGATGATGCAACCGCACAATGATATGATGTAATCACATGGTGACATGATGTCATCACATAACAACACATTAGTAATCACATCACAGTGTGAGGTACAATGTACTCATGCAACTCACTGGATGATGTAGACAATGGGCAAAAAAAGAAGAAAAAAATACTGATGTGAAGCTGTCATGTCATTGTAGCACTCACAGCAGTGTTAGAACAGCGAGGAACGCGAGCTACTAATACTGCCCCGACTGCCTGCACTCTTCAATGAGGAACCATCAAAGTTGAACATGGCCATTGGATTGTCGCCACTAGGGACATATTCCGGGTTCAAACCAATTGCCTTGATCAGCCGTCGCTGAAACACGTACACAAACACACAACATTGATAGCAACACAGCAATGTTAGTATTACATGCACATGGTGGAATGTGAGCTGTGCATGCTGGAGAGAGAGAGAGAGAGAGAGAGAGAGAGAGAGAGAGAGAGAGAGAGAGAGAGAGAGAGAGTGGTAGTAAGACAGACTGAAAACTAGTCGCGTACTCTACAAACGGTGACCTACCTTTGCAAGACACTAGCACACGTGTGTAACAAGATACTGGGGGGGGGGGGGGGTATGAGTGTGAGTGAAGATTACCTGAAGAGCATTATCACTACATGTACATGCACACACTCACACACACATCTGCATGCATATTCACTACATGACGCACACATACCTTCTCCGCGGGAGGTGCAGTAGCAATGGCAGCCATGGTCTCTCCGTCCAGAGCACCCACCGTCTGAGCGAATCGAGATACCTAACGGTAGCAACCGTACGTACACGTGGATGCACAGGCGAGTGTGTGCGTGCAAGCGTACACGTGGAATAACAGCATAAATTATCCACTGTGGCTTTTATCAACACCAGCACTGCACCAGCTGTAACACTTTGTTCAAACAGCTTTCAAGCTAAAAGAGCCATTTGCAGTTTTTCACAATATGAGTAGCTGATGCTGCAGCACATCAGAACCCCGCTGATTAGCCAAACAATGATGCTGTGCCCGCGTACCTTCCAGTGCAATGGACCGAGATTCTCAGTGCATGTACCACCAAGATGATGCAAAGCGACTACCGGTATTCATGTACTTCGAAGTACAATTTAATGTTTCTCATTACATCAGGCAAGCAAAACAGGAAAACGCTTCAACGAAAAATTCCCTCCAGATGACCTTCACTGCTTCTGTTAGAGATACCAATTCCGCAATTCCGCACCGTTCACCCTGTATGAAGCTGTGATTGACCTGCCATGATGTGGCTCCCACCGTGAAGGGGGAGTCTCCGACTTGCACCACATACAGGTGTCGACTGACACAATACAGTGTGTGCTCTATGATTTCAAACCAACCGGGTGTACGTGTACCTGCTGCCACAACTCTTGCAAGCGGGTCAGTCCCGGGTACATTCAAGTGTGGCTATTGTACATCAGGTAGTCTTAGGACTCCCTGATTGAGTTCCAACCGGGTCACAAGTGACACAGTGTTCTTTTTCCGAACGGGTCCAAGTACCCCCCAACCGGGCCGCTGACCCGGCTCTGGAGCAAACACTACAATAATACAACGTGGCTCTTAGTTCTATAGAAAGGCCGGGTGTACCGGTTACTCAGAGGAAAATCCTGTCCCATTGCAACAGGACAGGTTATTATGACTAGTACCTATGGCCAATCATCAGATGATGACAAGGCATGACCAGGCATGGGCCAATGACTAGATGATGATGGTGACAAGGCATGGCAGTGCTTACCTCAATGGACATCTGCTCCTTTGCTCTATTGATCTGAATTTGGTCCAGCGACTTCTGGTAGAGGATTTCTGCTTCTTGAGCCTGCAGGAGTCGATCCACAGCAAATTCACACGCACACCCACAAATGTCCGTATGCATTACAAGCCAAAGTCGACCTAACACCACAGTAAAGACAGCATTGGTTAACCGTGTTCCAGGAGACAACACCTCATTTCCCTTGGCACAAGTAACCACCGCCTGCACTTAACCAGGCTCTGATACTGACCTAAGTTACACAGTTACACTAGACTACTTCCAAGTACATGCTATACTAAATACCCATTGTACCAATATGGAGCAGCATGGAGCAAATAGGCAACACTGAGTGGTGAGCGTGTTACTGTACCCAGTACATGTGCTTACAACACTCACACAGCAGTGGCACAACCAAGTCCTTTCCTGCCGTTACTCAGAGATTTGTGTTAAGAAACACTCATCAGACAGCATAGGCAAGACCAAAGCATATAATCATACGGAGGGGTGTAAGAGAGGGAGCAGAGGTGATGGAGGTACAACATTACAGTGCAGCTGTACCCAATACGTATACCGAAAAGTCCGCTGCAAATGCCCACTTCGCAGCAAACGCCCACCCCAGCGGGTCCATACTATTTTCGTCTTTTTCAGGTCAATATAGTTGTAGAAAGCTGGCATGAAGGTCGAATGCGTACGAGAACGACTGTAATGCCTACAAAATGCCTATGTCTTACCAGGAGGCTCTGCAAAAGCGGTTGTCATTATCTTGCTGCAAAGAAAACTTCGGTCGAGATTTCCTTTCATTCGATAAATGAGTTGTCTTTGTTATTAGTTCGTTCTCCATGTGGTAATGCCGTATAATCCATCTGGTTTTCAAATCATGAAATTTCTGGAGTGCCACGATGTCGCGCTTTTAGAACGGAACGGTGATTGTTCTGACGAAGCATCATTCAACGACTTGACCGTTCACAGTATTGCAGCTGTAAGTCGAACACTTTACAAGGGGGGATGTTACAGAAGCTACACCTACAAAGTCACTGCTAACTTGTTGAAAATTCTGAAGTGGTCGAGAAAAACCCTTGCCTTTGCGCGTTGCGTGATATGGAAATGATGGCTTGAAACACCGTCAGAAGTGTATTTGGTTCCTGCAATACTCTGTTATTCGGACGAAACTCCCATTTGCATTTGCGAAATAAAACAACCAACATCATAGAATCGCTACTAGCTAGCTCGTAGCTAGCGCCCAAAGAGATTTTGAAACCAGGAAAGTGGACATAGTTTACCGTAGCAAAGCGCTCTTAGCGCTACGGTGTGAGATGCACTTTCGTACAGTAGGGGTGACAGTGCATGGGGTCAGTGTGTACAGGCCAGCATACCTTGCAAAATGGGGTGGGCGTTTGCAGCGGACTTTACGGTACAAGCACGTGCAGTCTCCAATACAGTGAGGAGGCCATGCAGCAAACTGTGTGACTCACCTTAACACGGGATTCTAGCGCTGCAGCATGCTCAATCTCCGCTGCTTGAGCTCGCAGTTGAGCCGCTGTATACACATACCATACACACACACGCACACATGCACGCACGCACACACACGCACACGCACACGCACACGCACACACACACACACACACACACACACACACACACACACACACACACAGGCAGGGAAAAGGAGCACAAACAGTATGAGCGGTTCTCGCCAAAAAATGCTTGTAATGTCCAACACTCGAAGCCGGAATGTTGACATGAAGTGAATGGAGAACACTTCCCTGCTTACACTCCCCTGCTTCAGAAGCATAACAAACTACAGGCATGTCCCATTACAACCGCTCCACATCCTTACACAGACAGTATCTCCACATCCTTACACAGACAGTATCTCCACATCCTTACACAGACAGTATCTCCACATCCTTACACAGACAGTATCTCCACATCCTTACACAGACAGTATCTCCACATCCTTACACAGACAGTATCTCCACATCCTTACACAGACAGTATCTCCACATCCTTACACAGACAGTATCTCCACATCCTTACACAGACAGTATCTCCACATCCTTACACAGACAGTATCTCCACATCCTTACACAGACAGTATCTCCACATCCTTACACAGACAGTTGAGAGGTTCCGCACTACGTAAAGTTGAGCTACTTTACGTTAGTGGGCGGGAAAAACCCGTGAATTCGCGAGTTTGCACTCCACTTACGGAAAGTTGTCTACGGAGAGTACGTAGATAGGGCTCTGATAACGTAGCTGGTCCGTAAGTGGATTGGGGTACAAATTTATGACTCTCTCCCCAGGTCGATCTGGTCGTACACTGCCGCGTTCGGAGTTGCCAAGGGCAGCTACGTGATTTGAAAACTCCGTATGGCGGAACCCAGATGCGCATGCAGTTTACGTAAGACTTTCCGTAGATCGACTACGTTTTTTACTAACGTAATTACGTTATGCGGAACCTCTCTAATATCTCCACATCCTTACACAGACAGTATCTCCACATCCTTACACAGACAGTATCTCCACATCCTTACACAGACAGTATCTCCACATCCTTACACAGACAGTATCTCCACATCCTTACACAGACATTATGCCATGGTACGGTACGGAGGGCCTGTTTTCAGCCAATCAGCGCTCGTCTAGCCATGGTTATATTGGCCAGTATAAATCCCGCGCGGGATTTATATAGAATATAAATCCCGGTGCACGGTACGTACGCAAGGGCACTGCCACCGTACATGTTCACTGCCTGAAAGGCAGTGAACTTGTACGGCGGCAGTACTCCAGCGCACGGACCATACATAAACAGACACAACGGACACCACATGCACGTGTACACTCCACACAGAACGGCACACTGACGAGGAACAGTACACAATGGAAAAGAAGAATGACCTGGAATTCGTCTACAGAGTATTCTGTTATACTGAATCTGAGGATAAAGAACGTCGAATAACCACGAAGTATCCCGAATGGGTCAGCAATGTACATTGTATTTCGAAGAGTTGAAGATCATCAACAGACTGTCTCCTTCGTAAATAAGTTTATAATACAAGCGTACATGTACTTCAACCCGATTGGAAAATGCTACAATAGATTGGATTGAAATGTGATACAAAACAGTGTATGCAAATGCATCTACTTGCAAGCAAAACTGATTATAAGATGCCGCATGTGAAAATCAGCACTGTACCATAATTATAGTAACACTTACTCCCAAAGAGTCCAAGCTGTAATCTAACTAGTGACGGTAGTTTGATTCAACGACAAACTCCAGCACCGCAGCAATTTAGTCGACTTCCGCACCGCTCACGACTCAAGACGAGATCATGAAGATGCTACAATATGCACTGGAACTGAAAGGAAATCTTATGCCAAACATCCACGAAGGAATCTCCTTCTGATCTTGCTCGACCATTCTTTCAATTGACAACTGATAACCAGCAGAAGATGTTCATGTACTGCATGATGTAGGAGATCTCCAAATAGGTTCGTTGTTCTGGAAATGCGTAGGGGTACCTGGCATAAGTAGGATATGACCCTCGTAGTCGGGTTATACCGTACCCTCATATAAATCCCTCCTGCTATCGCAGTCGGGATTTATATTCAGCCGGTATAACCCTCTGACTCGTGTTATATCCTCTACGCATCTCCACATCCTTACACAGACAGTATCTCCACATCCTTACACAGACAGTATCTCCACATCCTTACACAGACAGTATCTCCACATCCTTACACAGACAGTATCTCCACATCCTTACACAGACAGTATCTCCACATCCTTACACAGACAGTATCTCCACATCCTTACACAGACAGTACCACCACATTATTTCAGATTGATTCAGCAGCTCGCATAGCTCTTTGCCTCAGATTCCGCATCATTGCATGCAAGCACATGTATAGATATTCCCACACACTTCAGTAAGCTGAAGCAACAATGGCCAATGTTGTTCAGTAAGCTGAAGCAACAATGGCAAATGTTGCCAGCGCCAGTATGTACATGATAGTGGCCCGAAGTAGCCGTACGCAAAATGGCAACAACTACGATTGCAACAACAGCGACGACGACAACAACAACAACAACAACAACAACAACAACAACAACAACAACAACAACAACAACAACAACAACAACAACAACAACAACACCAGCAACAACAAAGCTCCTTACCAGCAATATCAGCTTGTCCTTCAATCAGCAACTTCTCAGCTTGAGCCTGCAATAAACAGCGGCAGCAGCAGCATAGTGTTCACGTTTACGTACATTGTTGGACGTGGTGGTTGAGATTCTGCGGGGAATAATTCTGGGAACGCGAATCCGATATAGCAGATGGTAATAGGGAATCTGTAACATGGTCCTTCGAGCCGGATAGAGTGCTACCATGAGAAAATTTGATTTCAGCTTACAACTGCAAGTGAGCCTCGACCTCTTGTCCCGAGATCCAAAAGAATGATCACTGCACGGTCGGCAGCAGATCAATATCCGTTGTGTCAGCATGGATACACCAGACAACCGCATGGAGCGGAAACTCAGAAGAATGCAAGGCGGTCATTACGCCGCCGTCGCAACACAGCGTGTTGCAAAGCGAATGAGATCGTGGAGACGCAAACACACGTCAATGGTGATGAATGCAAACAGGATCAGCTTCTGGAGGTGTCCCGTGCCGAGCTGGAAGCCAGAGAACGTGCAGCACACGTAAAGTGCCATTTGCCGCCATCAACGGAACCAAACGTTGCCCGACCGAAGTGCGGCAGGTAGAAGCAGGCAACGGCGGCTACTGAACACGGAGAGCAACAACCACCTGTTTGTGTTAACTCTCCCACGGTTCGTTACCAGGAGGGGGGGGGGGGGGATGTTGCTGCATGACTGCAAGTACCCTTTTCGTTCGTGCCTTCATACGCACGCACCCATTGTGTCACCTCCGTGAAGAGGCCATGATGATGATGATGATCATGATGATGATGATGATGATGATGTTTTCCCTTGTACGTACAGTGTTGGTACAACTACTCTTTGCCGACTCACTTTGCACACCTTTCTTATAATCACACGATTCCCCAGAACAAGGGCAGATGAATAAAGAACACCTTTTAACAACAAGAGCAACTCTAAGTTTGTGTCTGTTATGAGGGTTTTGCCCCGGGGCACTTGGATCTCACCCAAAACAAGGGTATGTTATATGCAGGGTATGTTACACTGAATTGTTTCACTATATGCAGCAACGCATGCACACAAAGCATGCATATAACTTACAGACGCCTCAGCCTTTGCCTGACCCGAAGACTCGACAGCGGCAGATTCTGCCTGCAATTCGAAGAGCTTCATGCGAGCCTCCTCAGCCAGCTACACATTGACAAACGTACAAGAGGACAGATTTGACACAATCAGTGCTATGGTTAGGGTCATTTTCTTCCCTAATCTTTCTCTGTATGCCCCAAGGAAGAGATGAATCAAGAGACAGACAGTCACACTAGACTGTGACTGTGTCTGGTCCAGTACACATGCAAACGAGCCAGCCAGCACCGTACAAAGCCATTGTAACCCAGCCACTGTAAGCCAGCCAGCACTGTTGTACAGCAAAGTCAGGGCAGTATCAAGATAGAAACATCGCGTTGCCATACTAGTACCTTTTCATTCTGAAGATTCTGACGTTCCAGATGACCGCGTGCTACTTGGTCGAGACGTGCTGCATCGTGCTGAGCCGACCGCTCAATGGAACTAGAAATATAGAGAAGAGAAGAGAAAAGAAGAGTGTGAAATACGATATGTACTTATGTATAAATGTCTTATTTCGCGATGGCTAGCCGGACGTAGGAAAGAAACGAGAAATGAGGTTTTTTGGGTCTTTTCCATGATGTTAATATTCGCTGCGCCCAAATACAGAGGCACCTATAGTATGCACACTACTCACTAGGTAGGTGCACCATTTCTTTTCAAGTTTTCTTCTTGCAGTTTGCAAGGGCAGTGTGCCAAATTTGTCGCCTTCACCCTTTTGAGTTGCCGAGTCGTGCCTCCCTGCAAGACAGCCTGCAATGCAGCGGCAAGTGCATAGGCAGCATGCCAGCAGCTGTCCAAGACCAAGACCAACAGCAACTATTAATTTAATATCTCAGTAGCCTGGTCTGAAAGTAGACTTGCAATTTGTTATAATTACTTCAAAGTCTAGTGAAGTAGGATGACAGGCAAAGAGGCTGCTCGAGGATATACCGTACTCACTTAAAAGAAGCCGAAAGTTTCTATTTTTCCAAAGCCAATTTAGAGGAGGCTCAATGCAAGAGGGTTTCTTTTCAAGAGGGCATTTGTTGTTTCAATGCATACCGGCATAAATCCAATCAAATCCCTAAGAAAACACCCTTGCATCCGTTACAGCATAAGCCGCAACACCCACCCTGTGTCTCAAGATACTGCTACTGGTGACGACACTGCATTGTTGGCGCTGCTCAACAACTGCCAGGTGGAATCTAAGGGGTGCACTCATCAGCACAGAGTACTGCTACTACTGCTACTACTGATGCTACTGATGCTACTCACTTTGTAGATATCTCAATGGCCATCTGCACAGACTTGGTCAGGCTGTCACGCATCCGAGCATCTGATGGTTCAATACTCTGAATGTCAATACCGGTGATCACCTAGACAAGAAACACATACATGTATGCATGCACATGTACATGCACGCATACACGCACGCATACACGCACGCATACACGCACGCATGCACACACGCATACACACACGCATACACACACACACACACACACGCATACACGCACGCATACACGCACGCATACACACACACACGCATACACGCACGCATACACACACGCATACACAAACACAGACACAATATTCGACACATGTAAGAATCGATTTGCACGTTTTGACCTCCGTAGTTTTTCTTGTCACTTCTGAACCCAACCAATATATTAACCCAACCAATATCAGTCATCAGGCCAGTCAGGAGGTAGTTTTGAAGGTGTATGTGTATGTGTATGTGTAAATATGTGTATGTGTAGATGTATGTGTAGATGTATGTGTATGCGTAGATGTATATTGTGTATGTGTATGAGTATGTGTATATGTATGTATATGTGTATGTGTAGATGTAAGATAGTAGAGGTGCAGAAGTGTACAGAGTAGACAACAAGGTGGTTTGGTATTTCTCTGTCATGGGCAGACTACTGGATGTTGGCAGTTTGACAAAAGACCTCTGCTCCATCCCTGGGATCGGGTAGACGGCAGTAGAATTGCTTTGCATACAGAATCATCGACCGGGATACTGTGAAATGCATCACGTCATGTGGACATGTTGTTTGTATCCTGTATCGAGGCAGCAGACAGCCACAGTACAGCTGTCACTACAACCATTGCCACTCTACACGACACCAATGCCCAGCCACAAGCCGCACACTCCAGATCAAAACGACAAAAAGCATTCGCACACACTCACCAGATTGTTAGCATCAAACTTTAGGCACGACTTGATCTTGCCATCCTCGTTCACTCCCAGCACAGCTGTGCGAATAATCCGCTGTGAGTTGCGATGAAACTCGTCAAACGAAATCTGCGCCACAGCGCCACGAATACGGCTAGCTGCAGACAACACAGGATTTCATGACATCACACCACAGATTATATTAGCATGATAAACATCAGGTCCTACCCGACACTGGAATACTGGGTTTGGTAACCTTACCTAAATGTTATCAATACTAAGGCCACAGCAAGTTAATTCTATGTTTCGCGTCGGATATTTTCTGGAAAAGTCACGCGGGCGGGCGGAAAAAAACAAAAACAGAAGAAAAAACAAAACTCCATTCTATGTGTACTGAGCCATGTTGCACACAGAATACCACTACTAAACTGTCACTTCTACCTGTATCCAAAACGACAACAAGTCCTCACAGGACAGCTGGCAGACTGGGCTGGAGCGATACAGAGATTTCATGGATGGCTCCTTCTGCATTTTGACATGAGTCGAGGGATCCCGCTCCATCACAATCGTGGAAAATCCCGATGTCCTTGACACCTGGAATCTCTGCTCGCTTGGTGAGCAGGCCCTACGCCATCACACAGCTTGAAAAAATAGAAATTTTCATCTCTCGCACCTTCTACGTACCATCGCCTGGAATGCAAGATTATCGAGAAGCTGATAACCTCTGATCTGCCATACTGGCTAGAGAATGTTCGCCGGAACAGCCATCGATTGGCTCGTCTAGGTTCTTTTTTTTTCTTGTCAAGGATTCGAAAAGGTACGCGGGCGGGTGACGCGAAACATAGAAATAACTTGGTGTGGCCTAATACTAAACACAGATGAAACTTGCTGCTGGAGCAAATGAGAGATAAGTACATCTACTCCAAAGGAGTCAGAGGGTTATCGATTCCTCATCCAGGCAAGCTAAACACTAACTATTTTCAAGATCATCCACACGGCCAAATTGTGTGTGTGTGTGTGTGTGTGTGTGCGTGCGCGCGCGCGTGTGTGCGTGTGTTGAGGTATGAGATATGATGTGACATGACTACTTGCCAAAGACAGGTGGCTATCCTATTACGTCTCATTGTCCTAGAAACAACAAAATGTGCTCTTCACGTACCAACTTGTCGACAGGCGAATCCAATGAAATCAGGCACTGCGAAGATTTTCGCTTCACACTCAGCGTTTCCACGCTCCACCTACAAAGCAACAATACAGATAACGGACATATCAAGAGGATAAACACATGTGGTGTCCCACGCCCTACCCTTCAATAGCATGATCAACAGATCTGCAGAGTGCGACCAGTCACCTGCCTGTGAATGTTAAATGCAGCATTAAAGGCAGATATGTATTGACATCAGATAAAACTTGGGAAATGGGAAAATCGTAGAAAAAATACCTCAAAGTGGTTGTTGAACGCCAGCTTGACGCTGAGTCGTGCGTGGTCAGACGTCTCCACCTGCATTGAACAGCACATGCACACGTATGCACGCACGCACGCACACACACACACACACACACACACACACACACACACGCACGCGCAAACACACACACACACACACACACACACGCACGCACACACACACACACACACACACACACACACACACACACACACACACACACACACACACACACACACACACAATGTAGACCCCATGAAAGACGTCGGTCTTTTCGAGGTCTATTTTTCTAGAGCTTGCTGCATCTTTTTTTCGTTTGTCTTCCTAATTTAAAGAAGAGGAACAGTGCAAGCAATATAATCTTGGATGTTGTTGAGTCATCCCAGCCCTGAAGAGTATAATATGCACATATTCTGTCGTGCGGGTTAATATCATGATGTTCTTCCACAACATAATGCCCATAGAGTACATAAGCCACTGGAGAATCCAACGTGCTAATTCGTGTTCATTCAACATATACATAGATATACCGGTATGTTGGATATTCACTGGTTTGAGGGAAAGACGCAAACGGGAGAAGTCTGAATGGCGGAAATCAAACTACCGGTTCTTTTTTATTGCTATTAACCCCTTTAGCGCGAGCGTCGTACTAGTACGACGCACATGAGTTGCATGCCCCACGGCCGTCGTACTAGTACGACGCGCGCTGTACACTGTACAGTGAACCTGCATCTCATAGTCGCGGAGTCCGTGTTGAGTCAATAGTGACTTGTTCAAACTATCGTAACTCACTGAATACTTGGTCGATTCTCACAATCGAAACATGTATCTGCAAGAGAAAACTCTCAGCTAGCGATAAAGACAATCGCCGAAGCGATGCGACTACCGGTTGTTGAGATATGCGACTCGACACGGCAAATTTCAACTCGATCTTTTTGCGCAGTCTGCAGAACGCGTATTTTCCATCATGGATCATTTTGCGCTACCTGCTGCCATGGAAACAAGATTCAAATGATGGTAGTGGATCCCATGAGTCCTCACAAAAAATTTGAGCTCGATACGAGCAAGGAGAGCGAAATGGCAGCTGAATATTTGAGCTCGGTTAGTCTTGGCCGTGCTCAAGTCTGTCGAGCGCGTGGATGGAGTTTGCCAGACTGTAGCACGGGGTTTTGGTTTCGCTCCGAGCTGGGTTTGACATCAGTTTGTTCCTCGTCTCAAGACCTTTCCAGGAAGCTCAAGATCGTGGAATTCGTCCAAGGGAAGGTAAAGTTATCGATCCTTGAGCAGCTAGTACTTTCATGGGAAAATGCGACTTTTACAGGTGTTGACGTGGGGCGCGCTCAGGTAGCGTCGTGCTAAAGAGGTTAACTAGCACACAAAGTACAGAGGCCACTGGAAATTTCGACGTGGCCTTTCACACCATTAGCCAGTGGCTTCCGTGCTCCGTGTGCCAAAAATAAGCAAACACACACATGGCCACACACATGAACACACACATGGCCACACACATGGCCACACACATGGCCACACACATGGCCACACACATGGCCACACACATGGCCACACACATGAACACACACATGGCCACACACATGAACACACACATGGACACACACATGAACACACACATGGACACACACATGAACACACACATGGACACACACATGAACACACACATGGACACACACATGAACACACACATGAACACACACATGGACACACACATGAACACACACATGAACACACACATGAACACACACATGAACACACACATGAACACACACATGAACACACACATGAACACACACATGAACACACACATGAACACACACATGAACACACACATGAACACACACATGAACACACACATGAACACACACATGAACATACACACAGATACTTAGTGTCGTACCTCAATGATATCGGTAGTGAAATCAGGTCCAAGCATCAATGCCAACGACTTGAGTGCACCTTCTTTCTTTGGTTTGCCAGCTAATTCACAGAGGGGAAAGCACATTTCCATAGAAAAGGGAACGATTGCTATTATGCAACTCACTTGAATAGTAATGCAATGCCCCAATGCCGAGCACACATATGGGGCGCACTGTTTCAAGTCCCTTGCAACAAATGCTCAACTCAACTTTATCCAGCCATGGCAGAGTTGGACAAGCGTACAATAGCCACTTATCATGGCTGCACGGCTACAGAAGACAATGATCATGCATGGCATTGCATTACGGTACATTGTATTGCACTGTGCTACTACTCATGCACACTCTACTCTAGCTGTGCAGGAAACTCACCACTCAGTGACAGCACATTGAAATTCTCATGATAGCCAAGGGTGGCCTACGACAGCACACACACAAACAAGATCATGATAGTCACAGGTGTGATGATCAGTTGATCACAGGCAAAATGATCACAAGAGTGATGGTCACAAGAAAGGTGGGTACAGACAAGATAGACACAAACAAACAAACAAATGGACACGGACAAGATGGGCAACGCACAGACAGGATGAATATAAAATGCATCCTGATCATGGTTATAATAACTTGGTTGTTGAGCCAATAGTATTAATTCAGAAAGAAGAAAGGGCCAATAAGTTACGAGTTATGACTAACAGTCCACCAAGGTAACGAGATAATTATACAGTCAGGTAGTGCGACAACAAGGCACAAAACTGACAAGGATATTGAGACATTCGACGACCTGACACCTAGCTCCAACACATCTACGAAGCGCAAACCAACAACCTTCCAACTTGGAAGGCTCAGGTTAGGAAAGGTCCAAAGAGGGGAAGGAAATGTCTCACGGCAACAAAGAACGCCGAACGTTACTGGATGATAATGAGACTAGTAAGACAATTGGACATATTAGCCTTACTACAACCCGACGACGCAACGCAACAGACCACCCAACTTGGGAGGCTCAAGACTACGCAATAAACATAGAACGGGAAGCTGAGCGAAGACGAATTGTGACAAACCAAAGCGCCAACATCCTACCGAACTCGTAAGTACAATAACAACTCGTAGATGTGTTGGAGCTAGGTGTCAGGTCGTTGAATGTCTCAATATCCTTGTCAGTTTTGTGCCTTGTCGCACTATCTGACTGTATATTATCTCGTTACCTTGGTGGACTGTTAGTCATAACTAGTAACTTATTGGCCCTTTCTTCTTTCTTGATCATGGCAAGAGTACTCTTGATCACGGGTATGATAGACAATACAAGCAACATTGCAGGTAATCTATAGGTAATCATGTCATGCAGTCAAGGTGTCTGCGTATCATCACGATACATGATAGTATTATGTCATGCAGCCAAAGTGTATGCATAACATCATGATACATGTATCATGTCATGCAGTCAAGGTGTATGGGGTATGTGTAACATCATGATACATGTATCATGTCATGCAGTCAAGGTGTCTGGGGTATGCGTAACATCATGATACAGGTATCATGTCATGCAGTCAAGGTGTCTGGGGTATGCGTAACATCATGATACATGTATGAGTAGAGTAGTAGCACAGGATGGGACATACCAGATCAGGTCCAAAGACGACACGGGCTCTCTGGCGCTGGTAGTCATAGACCTGCACAGCTGTGTTGTGCGGACATCTGTACGTCACTAGACGAGAAGGATCACGCTGTACACGTACACACACACGGACACACACACGCGCACACACGCGCACACATACACACACACACACATGCACACACGCACACACACACACACACACACACACATACACACATACACACATGCCAGTGGCGGATCCAGAGATCTCTACGGGAGGGGGGGGGGGGGGGTTCCAGTATAGTCAAAACTGAATAGCTGATACATGTACATGGACACGCATATGGTTGCCAGTAGTACATTTACGAAATTTAGGGGGTTCCACGGAACCCCTCCTGGATCCGCCCCTGCATGCACACATGCAAATACACACTTGTATTTGTACAGGGTCACTGTGAAAAATTGGACGGGCCTCTCTGGGGAGAGGGGCAAGAAATTCTGAATAAATCATGGAATGATGTTTCAATCGGCGATTGAACTAGAACTCACACATTTCTCTCGTGGTGGTGGAATTTCCCACTGTTAGTACTTTGTGAACATCCTCAGGGAAATACGAAAAATGTGAAGAATTAGAGAAAACTCACAAGGACTGCAATGTTAAAATTCTACAAGTACAATGAAACTAGTACTTCAGAAGGAGAAGCGAGTGCTTTTCAGCACAAATACTTTCGATTAGCTATTCTGAAGACATTGCACATGTGCACCTACCGGTCCCATTAGCAGTGCTGGGTCAACAGATGTCTCGAAATACGCCACCTTGCGAATGCTCTCATCACCAAGACCACCGCCAGACCTGCCAGAAGTGATGAAGTCATGCAGGTAAGTAAGTATGTTCAGATTATTAGGTAGGTTGAATAGAGTGAGAATGTGCCAGCACACAAGGAATGTACTATTGAGCAAAGAAAACAGTCACCCCATATTGACCAGTATCCTCACTGCACCAAAGTCGAAGGATAGAGGCTACACAAAAGACATCATCGCATATGCTTTGCATGGCGTGTATGGAGTAAAAACCAATGCTAGTTTTGTATTGTGCGGCAAACCGAGCTAGTTTGTATTCAGCTAGTAAGTTTGTATTGAATGGCATGCCACGGAAACAGTGCTACTTCCATGTAGCAAACCAGTGCCTGCACGCCATGCAAACAGTGCTAGTTCCGAGTGGCAAATCAGTGCCTGCACGCCATTGCACCACTGCTTTGCACCTCCATACAAAGGGTCTCAAACAAATGACGCAATCGCATTGACGAAAATCTATACAAAGCCTCCAGTCGTACACATCACTCCTAGGACAGAAAGAGCAAGTGGCGTACATACTTACTTCAGCATAGCCTCAACTTCTGTAGGTAGAGTCTTCGGAATGAGCTGCTCTGTTGCAGTCAGTAGATATGATTGTGGGCCAAGCACAGTGCGCACCTGAACACAACATACATCCACACATCCACCACAATAAGCACACACACACACACATACGCACGCGCGCACGCACACACACACACACACTTGTACTTGCTCACTGCCATGACTGGTCACGCGAATCTCCCCCAAAGAGGGGAGAGAGATTCAAAAGAAATCTTGGAAAGATGACTCAATCGGCTATTGAACCGCCCAACAGCCGACATCCCCTGGAATCCCCAAACTCTGGGTGGACTTGAAAATGATCCCACGTATGGGCTCACCACATCTCAGAAAGGGGATGAGAACAAGATGCAGAAAAGGGATTGACGGCATCAGGGTACCTGTCCTGCCGTCGTGGGATCCAACTGCATTCAGCCCTGCCCCCAGTGAAGGCAATACTTGCTACTAGTGTGGGCGGCTAGATCAGAGTGGATCGGGCGGAGTGGCGGAGAACAACAAATCAGTTGGCTCCTTGTAGCATGGCAGATAACAACTCCCATATCAACGAGTCAGTGCTGTCTGATAGTCGCTTTGTGCGTGAAACTCAGAGTCACAGCCGAGTCACAGCAATGCACTTTTCTTTGCCTTTCTCTGTACGTGTATATGCATCAAAGACAATAATTCTACGAGTAGTCGAACATATACAGTGTGCGGTGTGCAGCGTAGAAATGAATCGGCTACTGTTGTTTCATTAGGAGTGGAGTACAAGCGACAGGTGCATATATACCTTTCCAGACTGAGTCTCTCGCACGTAAATACCCTCATTCTTGCCGAGAGGAATGGCTTTCCTACAGAACCAGACAAAACACGGTGAACAGCATCATGAGCAGGAGCACGTGGCGTTCTGTCCTTTCAACAACATTTCTCCCTTTTCTCACCTCATGATAAAAGCGCAACATGACAACAAATCCGGCTGCCCACTATTACAAACAGTGTGGAGTTGTTTTTCATGCACAACTCCTTGACAATCACATTAGAAACTCCAGTTGACAGTAAACATGCCCGGTCACACATACTCCACACAGGGTACAAGTAGCAATCTGGTAAAATTCACCACCGGTTTCTTTCACCGCCACCACCGTAGTGGCGCACATAAAGGCCCACGTGCTTATGAGTGAGTTTTTGCGTTATTTGCTATTTTTGTGGGTCGGTTTGTCGGTTTGCATGCGCTTGAGTTGCTAGTGTACCGGTGCCTTGTATTACTTGTGAGGGTGCGCTTATGCCCGGATATAGGCACATGCGCTTAAATGCGCGTCACTACGGTACCAAGTCACGCCTAGTGTCTGGATAGCGCCTGGAGTCTGGATAAAGCATAGCTGAAGATACTGCCGAAAACATTAGGCACATGACATGTTGTATTGATGGAAACACTGCTATACTTGGGTCTGCTAAAGCAAGGTGTGATGGAGTTTAGATTTGATGTCGAAGGCAAGCCGAAATAATCCTTAAAATGTTACCTTTTTTCGACAATGCTGACTTGGATACAGGGGGTGAAGTCACATGGTCCACGAATCATCCAGATGTCACCAGGACTACGCTTCTTGGCATCGTCTCCCTCACCGTCAGTGAATTCCTCCATAGCACGCAGCAGCAGTGCCTCGTCATCTCCCATAATGTGAACCGCTTCAATCTTGTTGACATGCTCACCTGGTAATGGTCAAGACAACACCAGATTACGTAAAGACAAATGTATAGACAATGAAGAGTGGTGTAATCATACGCCAGCACTAAGCAGTGGAAGTATACACAAGCATACAGCACAGTTCTAACACTGTGGCAGATAGATGACATATCTTGTAATGCACAGAAAAAACACTAATGTGGGAGCCACTGTAAGACATGTATATATAACGAGGAAGCAAATCTAACGTTTTAACGGATGACATTTCTTCGTTATAATAAGATCCGTTGAGGCCGTACTGCTTCATATAATGCTGTGTGTGGATATGGCAGAATACTGCAAGATCGTTAATATATCTTCTCGTTAACCTATGAATTTTGGACAATCGTTAAATTTGCGACTCGTTATAATAACATGTCTTACAGCAATTGGTAAAAGGCCACTGTTAAGCGGCTTTGCTCCAGCCCGTTGACACAGCGCTTTGACACTTATATAGATAGCAAACTTGCCATTGACCATCATTGTCTTCAATCAGGCTATTTACACCTGGTCGGTGGATATTGTCTTGCACTGAAGTGTTTAGTTTGAGAGTGGAGTACTGCAAATGGAGGCATTCCATTTCTCCGCTACGCTGATATCAATCATTGGCTGTCGGTTTCATAATGCCCGTCTTCTAGACATCATCATCGCAAGTGGGAGGTACCTTCCCTGTTGCCGCCACCACACTCCATGGCAGACACTACAACTGAGCTATGGAGCTCCACAAGATCATGGCAGAAGCCCTCGATCGACTACAGTGCCAGGCATATATTCAGTAGCTCGATTCACCCCCGAGCAATGGCAAGATGCACTCTCTGAAGCTCTGGAGCTGCGTAACGGGTGACAACGTGAGTGCTTCCAGTCATGCACAGACTTTCTTGATTTCGACTTTGGCTTCAAGGATTTCTGCCGAGAGAAGTTGCAAATCTCAGCAATGTTCTTGTTCTGCTCAAGCCATATCGGCCTAGTGGTTCTTAAAGGGGAAGTTAAGGCAAAAATTAAAATTTCACCAGTTGTAGTCTTCGGGGTGCTGAGTCGAATGGTCTTGGTCCGAGAAAGCTGAGACGCTCCCTTCCTACTTGAATCCCAATCGAACTCGCGCACTTCCACCGAAACTGGGTGACTGCGCCCTACGAGATGGGGATTTGTATGCAAAATGTCACTAAAAGCGCCGTTTCGTTCTTATAAAAGCACGGATGACCGCGATTGGCCCATATGTTGTAGTCTTTTGGACGCTGAGTCGACTGGTTTTGGTCCGAAAAGGCTGCGATGCAGCGTTCCTCCTTTATTCCCAATCGAACATGGTTGAACAAGTGGTCACGTGCTCCTGGGTGCCCAAATCACCTGGTCACCACGCCAGCAGGCGACAACTTTCACACCAAGGTTCAACTCGAGTTCAACTCGAGTGACAGGACTGCACCCAAAAAAGGTCAAACAGGCTAGTAAGTTGTACCCTGCAGGCACGGTGACCAGGTGACTGGTGTACGCAGGAGCACGTGACCGCTTGTTCGACCATGTTCGATTGGGAATAAAGGAGGAACGCTGCATCGCAGCCTTTTCGGACCAAAACCAGTCGACTCAGCGTCCAAAAGACTACAACATATGGGCCAATCGCGGTCATCCGTGCTTTTATAAGAACGAAACGGCGCTTTTAGTGACATTTTGCATACAAATCCCCATCTCGTAGGGCGCAGTCACCCAGTTTCGGTGGAAGTGCGCGAGTTCGATTGGGATTCAAGTAGGAAGGGAGCGTCTCAGCTTTCTCGGACCAAGACCATTCGACTCAGCACCCCGAAGACTACAACTGGTGAAATTTTAATTTTTGCCTTAACTTCCCCTTTAACCTTCACTTCATCCGTCGGCAACCACTGGTAACTGGAACCTGCATGGGTCCCGTGTCCTTCGCCTACAATCAACAAATTGATGGCAGGTACCTGGGCCTCAACTCTATTCGAGCCACCCCTCCCCTGCTTGCACAGTCTAGACCATACCAAGGGCATTACAATCGTTTAAAACACAGGCCATACCTGGTCGCAGGAAGAAAGAGCTTGGCCCGGTACGCAGCTCTCGCTGGCCTAGCTGATTGTGACCGTCCTCGCCGACAGGGTCCATGACAACGCAGTACTGCTTGGATGTCAAGACAGTCTTCTTCACAGACTTTATCACTTCCTGAAATGTACGTACATGAATGCATATGTACGCAAGAACACACACACACACAACACATATGCACGCACGCACGCACACACACACACGCACACACACACAACATTACCTACAGCACTTGATCCACTGTAGAAATGCCGTCTCCAATCTGGCTTCACCCGGCTGATAGCATCAAACATCACCAGATACTTTCAACATTTACAATCAATATGCTCATCAAAAGTGTAGGTACTGACCAAAGAACAAGGCGTCACAGCTTGTACATTTCTCTACAAAATGTTTGATTCGTACAATGTCTTGTCACATGTATTTACCACTACATGTACATGCACTTCCAAGCCCTTCTACCTAGGAAAAACACCACTAAACAAGTCAAAGATGGGACCCATTAGCCCACTCATGGCATGTGCATCCACTAGGGAGTTATTATAAACCCAGGAGAGGGCATACAAGTGGAAAAGTACAGGTGAGGTGTGCCTCGCGCGTCTTGGTGAAGTCCCTGTTCGGGAATCACCAAGTTGCATTCACCATATCACAATTTTCTGTTTTGTTTGGTTTGAGTGGCCAGTACACTCCACAGGATAATGTGCTAGCACTAAACAAAGCTACTCAGAGAAACAGTAACTGTTATAGATAGTCAACTTGCAGATGGTTTTCTTGAGGTCATGAATTATTATTAGGGCTCAAACGGTTAGTCCGATTAACCGGTTGCAGACCGGTTAGGAAGAATTAACGGTTAACCGATAAAGATAACGGTTACGCAGTAACTTTTCAGTCAATTTTTCAAGTATCAGGTCGTTGCAAAGTATGCATTTTCGCAGGCTGTCGCACGCATACGCAATTTCTGGGCTGTCAACTGGGTCATATCAGTATTCTGGTCTCTTGGTGTGAGAGTATGTATGAATGAGCATGCAAGAGAATGTACATGTGTGCGTTGTACTGAAAAGGGTACATTTTTTGAATGAGTATAGTCAAATATACGGTTAAAAAAGAGTCCGCAGGATTGCCGCGGCTTATAGGTTATAACCGTTAAACCGACCGTTAGCTTAGCAGTTAACCGTCAGGGGTAAAACCGTGACCGTTTGAGCCCTAATTATTATGCCCTGGAAAGTACTCAGGAGAAAATAAATAAATAAACAACATTGTACAAAATCGTACTATGTCAAACAGGATCAGAGGAAAGCAGTGGCATGTCCCAGGTTTATACAACTCCGCGGTGTTAACATACCTCGCTGACTCCAGGTACATAGTAATCTGTGTCCTTGTTTGTGACCATGTACAGCTCACCAGCACACCTGTAGGGGCCAGAATGCCAAGCAGCCCATTGCCCAAACCACACACACATACACATACAAATGATGATGCTTCGATATTACCTTGCTGGTTCTCGCTTGATATCCTCTCCTTCCTTTCATGGAAGTTGATTCTGTGCATGTCTGTGCTGTCGTACTTCGCACTAAGCCAGATTACTGAAGTACTCTATTGTCTGTGCACAGTCGTTCATTCTTTGTTCCGTCTACGTGATGAGAAAAATCTGCCGATTCGTACTTTACTTTCTCCATCACTTTGAGTTCCCCATAGTATTCGATGATTCATGCCAGGGAGTCGTATACAGTGGTCCCTCTATAATCCGGCACCATTTGTGCCACGAAAATCTGCTGGATTAGGGAGGGTGCTGGATAAACAAATCTGATTTACTGCTGCAATGTGCATGAAGAAATATTTGGCTACTGAAAATTGTGCTGGTTTATCGAGGGTGCTGGATTATAAAGTGCCGGATTAGAGAGGGACGACTGTATTACCGACTCCCTGATTCAGGCCAGTGAGACAACATCTGGTTTAAAAAAAAAAGAAGAATTAATAGTTGGGACCTTCAAGGCTACCCAGACTGAAAACAGAGATTTGTAATAGAGATGTGTTCTAGATCGTGTTACAGTTAGAAATTGTACGAGCTCGTACATAAAAAAAGGAGGAACTCTACAAAGCTTGAAGAAAGGGGATGGCTAGAACATGATAGAACAAGTTCTGGTATCGCTTTCACACACAACACATACTATGTTCTGGTATCGCTTTCACACACAACACATACTATGTTCTGGTATCGCTTTCACACACAACACATACTATGTTCTGGTATCGCTTTCACACACAACACATACTATGTTCTGGTATCGCTTTCACACACAACACATACTATGTTCTGGTATCGCTTTCACACACAACACATACTATGTTCTGGTATCGCTTTCACACACAACACATACTATGTTCTGGTATCGCTTTCACACACAACACATACTATGTTCTGGTATCGCTTTCACACACAACACATACTATGTTCTGGTATCGCTTTCACACACAACACATACTATGTTCTGGTATCGCTTTCACACACAACACATACTATGCTCTGGTATCGCTTTCACACACAACACATACTATGTTCTGGTATCGCTTTCACACACAACACATACTATGTTCTGGTATCGCTTTCACACACAACACATACTATGTTCTGGTATCGCTTTCACACACAACAGATACTATGTTCTGGTATCGCTTTCACACACAACAGATACTATGTTCTGGTATCGCTTTCACACACAACAGATACTATGTTCTGGTATCGCTTTCACACACAACAGATACTATGTTCTGGTATCGCTTTCACACACAACAGATACTATGTTCTGGTATCGCTTTCACACACAACAGATACTAAATGGCAAACGCCTGCGCCTAACTGTTACTTCTGTCAAACCAAAACAAAAACCTGGAACTACTTAGAAGGACACCCATTCGATTGTGGTGACGCCGCGCTGCAGTACGTAATGCGCAAAAGGCCTATTGAAAGACGCCAGGATTGTTCGACATGGACGTCTGGACTCTGTGCTGGCTGAGTGATCACGTGGAGAGAGAGAGAGAGAGAGAGAGAGAGAGAGGGAGAGAGAGAGAGAGAGAGAGAGAGAGGGAGAACTCCTTGGTTTTGCATTGACACGCGAAAGCACAACAATTCTCCTTCGCAGAATGGACGCGCGCACTGTTGTGCTGGTACACGAGAGACTGGCCTGCCTCTGACTAAGGGTGCGTTTACACGACAGCGCTGGACCATTTTTGCATTTTCGATCCCGCGACGCTTCATGCGTTCTCGGGTGTTTACACGCGAACGCTCTGCGTGAATGGAAATGCAGTCCACACGTGCCGTACTGTTCAATTTTCGGCGCGAATATCCACAATCAGCATGTGCAGATCCAAGAATGGCACAAGGACACTCACAGCCATGCCAAGAATGGCACAAGGACACTCACAGCCATGCCAAGAATGGCACAAGGACACTCATAGCCATGCCAAGTGAAGAATGGCACAAGGACACTCACAGCCATGCCAAGTGAAGTTTTGGCCTTCTGTTTCCTGCTTCGCTTGTCGACTTGTTGCTCGTACTGGGTCTTTTTTCCTCTTCAGCATAATTTTGCTTATTGACATTTCAAGCACGCCACTGGAATTTCTGTATGGTCCTACACAATACTGAGTAGAATCCGAATGTATACCGTCTTTTGTTGGTCTTGCACTCAGCTCTTTGATCAGTTCCATTTTTGTTACGTAGCTTGCTTGTGAGACCCTGCGACACACCTTTCTCGTCTGTCACAGCACGGCAAGCTTCTTCCTCTTGTGTTCAGACATTTTTCACTTTTCTTTTTTCTGGTCTATTTTCTGTTCCTGTTGTTGTCGTTGTTTGTTTGTTTGTTTGTTTGTTTATTTAGAGTCGAAGAACAAACAGGCAAATTCCCCTAATTACATGATATCGACTAAAAAGGAAAATAAAGTATAAAAGGCCAATGAAGGTAATGATACTGAGTAGAGTGGGTAATGATACTGAGTAGAGTGGGTAATGATACTGAGTAGAGTGGGTAATGATACTGAGTAGAGTGGGTAATGATACTGAGTAGAGTGGGTAATGATACTGAGTAGAGTGGGTAATGATACTGAGTAGAGTGGGTAATGATACTGAGTAGAGTGGGTAATGATACTGAGTAGAGTGGGTAATGATACTGAGTAGAGTGGGTAATGATACTGAGTAGAGTGGGTAATGATACTGAGTAGAGTGGGTAATGATACTGAGTAGAGTGGGTAATGATACTGAGTAGAGTGGGTAATGATACTGAGTAGAGTGGGTAATGATACTGAGTAGAGTGGGTAATGATACTGAGTAGAGTGGGTAATGATACTGAGTAGAGTGGGTAATGATACTGAGTAGAGTGGGTAATGATACTGAGTAGAGTGGGTAATGATACTGAGTAGAGTGGGTAATGATACTGAGTAGAGTGGGTAATGATACTGAGTAGAGTGGGTAATGATACTGAGTAGAGTGGGTAATGATACTGAGTAGAGTGGGTAATGATACTGAGTAGAGTGGGTAATGATACTGAGTAGAGTGGGTAATGATACTGAGTAGAGTGGGTAATGATACTGAGTAGAGTGGGTAATGATACTGAGTAGAGTGGGTAATGATACTGAGTAGAGTGGGTAATGATACTGAGTAGAGTGGGTAATGATACTGAGTAGAGTGGGTAATGATACTGAGTAGAGTGGGTAATGATACTGAGTAGAGTGGGTAATGATACTGAGTAGAGTGGGTAATGATACTGAGTAGAGTGGGTAATGATACTGAGTAGAGTGGGTAATGATACTGAGTAGAGTGGGTAATGATACTGAGTAGAGTGGGTAATGATACTGAGTAGAGTGGGTAATGATACTGAGTAGAGTGGGTAATGATACTGAGTAGAGTGGGTAATGATACTGAGTAGAGTGGGTAATGATACTGAGTAGAGTGGGTAATGATACTGAGTAGAGTGGGTAATGATACTGAGTAGAGTGGGTAATGATACTGAGTAGAGTGGGTAATGATACTGAGTAGAGTGGGTAATGATACTGAGTAGAGTGGGTAATGATACTGAGTAGAGTGGGTAATGATACTGAGTAGAGTGGGTAATGATACTGAGTAGAGTGGGTAATGATACTGAGTAGAGTGGGTAATGATACTGAGTAGAGTGGGTAATGATACTGAGTAGAGTGGGTAATGATACTGAGTAGAGTGGGTAATGATACTGAGTAGAGTGGGTAATGATACTGAGTAGAGTGGGTAATGATACTGAGTAGAGTGGGTAATGATACTGAGTAGAGTGGGTAATGATACTGAGTAGAGTGGGTAATGATACTGAGTAGAGTGGGTAATGATACTGAGTAGAGTGGGTAATGATACTGAGTAGAGTGGGTAATGATACTGAGTAGAGTGGGTAATGATACTGAGTAGAGTGGGTAATGATACTGAGTAGAGTGGGTAATGATACTGAGTAGAGTGGGTAATGATACTGAGTAGAGTGGGTAATGATACTGAGTAGAGTGGGTAATGATACTGAGTAGAGTGGGTAATGATACTGAGTAGAGTGGGTAATGATACTGAGTAGAGTGGGTAATGATACTGAGTAGAGTGGGTAATGATACTGAGTAGAGTGGGTAATGATACTGAGTAGAGTGGGTAATGATACTGAGTAGAGTGGGTAATGATACTGAGTAGAGTGGGTAATGATACTGAGTAGAGTGGGTAATGATACTGAGTAGAGTGGGTAATGATACTGAGTAGAGTGGGTAATGATACTGAGTAGAGTGGGTAATGATACTGAGTAGAGTGGATAATGATACTGAGTAGAGTGGGTAATGATACTGAGTAGAGTGGGTAATGATACTGAGTAGAGTGGGTAATGATACTGAGTAGAGTGGGTAATGATACTGAGTAGAGTGGGTAATGATACTGAGTAGAGTGGGTAATGATACTGAGTAGAGTGGGTAATGATACTGAGTAGAGTGGGTAATGATACTGAGTAGAGTGGGTAATGATACTGAGTAGAGTGGGTAATGATACTGAGTAGAGTGGGTAATGATACTGAGTAGAGTGGGTAGTGATACTGAGTAGAGTGGGTAATGATACTGAGTAGAGTGGGTAATGATACTGAGTAGAGTGGGTAATGATACTGAGTAGAGTGGGTAATGATACTGAGTAGAGTGGGTAATGATACTGAGTAGAGTGGGTAGTGATACTGAGTAGAGTGGGTAATGATACTGAGTAGAGTGGGTAATGATACTGAGTAGAGTGGGTAATGATACTGAGTAGAGTGGGTAATGATACTGAGTAGAGTGGGTAATGATACTGAGTAGAGTGGGTAATGATACTGAGTAGAGTGGGTAATGATACTGAGTAGAGTGGGTAATGATACTGAGTAGAGTGGGTAATGATACTGAGTAGAGTGGGTAATGATACTGAGTAGAGTGGGTAATGATACTGAGTAGAGTGGATAATGATACTGAGTAGAGTGGGTAATGATACTGAGTAGAGTGGGTAATGATACTGAGTAGAGTGG